TGTGGCCCCATCTCATGTACCAAGCCAGGACTGGCCCTTCTCTGAGTAACAACCCCAGTGGACAGACCCACATATCTGGTTGTCCCAGATTCTGGCCTGTCCAGTTGCAGGTTCTGCTCCAGTACCTATTTCTGACCTTACTGGCTCTGTGGAGCCTCTGCACTTCCTTCTTGAGCTCATCGGCCCTTGGCTTTTCCATGTGGGTGTCTGCTCTGCTCTGCCCACCCCACCCTCTGCCACTTCTGGAGCTCTCTCCACGCAGGACTGAGAACATCTCTGTCCATCCTGGGAGGACGGAATCCCACTACACAAGGACATGAACTGCTAGGGACTCCTGTCGAGACTCTTGTGTCTCTTTGCCATTCTGATCTCTAAATTCCCTCACCCAGGAGGAGACTTGGGGGTAACACTCGAAACTTTATAAAAAGCTCCCCATGTGTTTGGCAATCAGCACAAAACGAGCCCACACGTACCCAGCTGTCACCAGCTCTGGACACCAGGCGCTTTCCCTGTCTCACCCAGGACAGTGGCTGTACCTTCAGGCGGGGCTCTCACAGGCTCCTGTTTGAGGGTTCAGGGGTAGGAAGCAAGCAGCCCGCGCAAGCTAAGGTCTTACAGAGCTCTGGCAGACAGTGTGATCTGCTTTGGGTAAAGAGAGGAGTGAGCAAATGATAAGTAGCCTCTACATTTGCAAAGAGTAACTTGTTATGTGCTAGCGTGTAACGTGGGACTCAGATGGGCCAGTGTAATGGACAGAGGAGGTTCCTGCTTGCCTGCTTTGATTTTCTGGAGGGCTGTGGGCCTGATAGAAGTTAGTGACTGGGTCTTAAATGTGTTGCCTTTTTCAGAATCTTCCTTCAGGCTTTTCCATCTTGCTACTGACATCCCTCACAGAAGTCTTCCATTTCCTTCCGTCCACCTAGGTGATATTGACTCATAACTGGGCCCCGAGCGAGGGGTTGGTCATGGGGAGGATACTTTACTGGTGTTCTGTGTTAGTCCCAGCCTGACACAGGAACTGACGCGGTGACACCGAGGAACTCTCCCAGGCCACACAGGTGCTTTCACGCTGCTGGGTCTTGTGTCTCCAAACCTCTTTGTGGAGTTTCTCACACTGGAACTTTGGGTGACTGTATGGGGTGGAGGGGTCACAAGACTCTGTTTTCCAGGACCCTAGGCAAAAAAAACCTGAAGTCTGGTTGCTTTTCCCTGTTCCACACTAGTGGTGTCCTTCAAGATCAGAAGAAAAGGAGTCAAGAAAGACTTGTCTCCAGGGTCTGCATGCCAAAAGGCAGAGCCGCTCAAGCTGCCCATTCCCGGCCTCTTATGGGTAGGATGCCTTCCAAGGTGGCCATCCTGGCCCAGCAGCCACCCAGTGAGTGAGCTTGTTCTGGGAGGCTGTATTATTCATCGCTTTCCCATCACTGGGACGTACTGGCCTACACCCACAATTTGAAGGAGGGGAGGTTTATTTGGCTTACAGTTTCCAGTGGGTTCAGTCCACAGCCAGCTGGCTTCAAGGCAGAAGTGCACGGTAGATGGGCCTGCCAGAGGGCAGCTGCTCATCCCACGTCAGCCAGGAAGTAGAGAGTGAAGGGACAAAGAGAGACAGGAATACACCCTTCCAGACCACACCCCCAGTGACCTACCTCCAACCAGGCCCCGCCTCCTAACAGCACCATCAGCCGTGGTGAATCCATTGATGAGCCTACCACCCCCTGATCCATCCCCTGCCTTCCACACACAGAAGACTTTAGATCTAAACCAGGAGAGAGGTAGACCAGAAGGACTGATGACACCAAGGTCAGGGCTTCTCCCTTCTCCCAGAAATGTGGCCCAAGTTCTGTCCCATCTGACTGTGACCAGCTGTGCCTTTAGTTGAAAATGCCTTGCTGCTCTTCTCCAGATGCAGGAGAACTCCTTTCTTTGGTTGGATGCACCATGGCTATGCTGCTCTTCTCCAGATGCGGCTGAACTCCTTTCTTGGGTTGGATGCGCCATGGCTATGTCTGCTTTAGACCCTCGTGCCTCCTGGTTGGAGTTCAAGAAAGACATCATTGGTTCTGCAGTTTGCCATCAACAGACAGCTTTTCTGTTCCAGGGTTGTTAAACCATACAATATGATCCTGCTGATTTAGGAATATGTTTGGCAGTAAAATTTTCAGTCTTATCGCTAAAATTTCGGCCCCAATTTTTTTTCCTCCCTTCTTGTTTCGTGCCAAACCTGAGGATTCTGTCAGCATTTCCTCTGTGGAAAGCACAACACATTACCTAAGAAGAGCCTTGCAATGCTTTTCAGAGCACACAGGTGCTGCTGATTGTGACGATGCCTCCAGGGGTTCCCGGTGTTCTCCAGCCCTGCCTGTGGTACATTGTATTCCGTGTAAGGAAGAAGAAGTAAGCAAAATGGGTGTCTGCCCCATCTCAGATAACGAATCTCCCCAATAGACTCACAGATTTACGCAAAAAGAGTGGCAGAATATAAAAGCTGATGAATCTTCTGGCATTGTGAGTTCATGTTGTTATGAAATAAATATGCTGACTAAATGGATCCAGATGCTATCAAATATATTTTTCCAATAAAGACCGTGTTCTATCCTTGGCCAAAGCAATAAACACACAAGGCTTGTTTGTAACACCTCTTTCCCATATACTGCCAGTGGTCCTGCACATTTTACCCTCTTATCCCAACTGCTCTACTGCTGGTGAAAGGTGGTAAGTGTTTTCTGATAAGGATTCCGGGGAAACCCTAAAGAGGCAGGAGTTGTTTCCCCACGACCCAGAGCTGACGGGCAACAGGAAGATGGAAATCGCATCATTAGCTGTGTACCCACCTGGAACAAATGTTTCGCGCTATTCATCTCCTCCCAACACATCAAAATACAAAAACACCCCAGTGATTACCAGTCCCCAGAGTCCATCTTGGAGTCTTGGAGGACCCCTGCAGCCCGCTGTGTGAGGATGTATGATGGGAAGATGGAGACATATCCAATTACAGCAAACTCCATATTCTTGATGTGGGTGAGCTGTCTTCCAAGACCACCCCAGGTTGGGCTGCAGGGCTGGGAAGCTGAGGGGGCCCACTGGGAGGCAGGAGGGAGTTCACAGTGAGTTGAGGGCAGTGGTTAATGTGGGTTTGGAACCAGACGCACAGAGGCTCCAATCTTGACTCTGCCGCTTACTAGCTGTGGCCTGCAAGGGCATTTTACCCATCTGAGTTCAGTTTATTAATCTGAGTTGCTGGGAGAATGGATGAGGTTGTGATACTAAACTGCCAGTCCCTAAGATGCAGTAATCATTAGCCTTCTTAGTAAGACTTCCCTCCAGTGGGGAGTGAGTTTGTCCAGAAGTGGATGAGGAGAGGGAAAGCTGTTCACTTCAGTAGCAGAGGGGTGCTCAACTGTGCCACCACCTGCAGGGCCTGCCCTGCTGGCACAGACCTCCCTCATAGCCCCTTTACCATCTAACCTTCTCAAGCTCCCACTCACTCCTGTCCCAGTGTTCTGGGTCCTCTAGGTCCTGGACTTGGCCAATGCCACCACCATTGCACATCCTCCTGTTCCTGCCCGAGGAAGTGTGAGGACACTTGCTCTCCATGCACTGAGATGGACAAGGCCTTGAAGGCATTCAGATATCAGAGGAAGGGGCTTCCATATATACTAACACCATCTCTTCTGGCCAGTCCCTTATTAAGCTGTGCAAGTATTTTATCTCATTTTTATTCTCCTGGCAACCCTAAGAATTATAATCACTATGTCCAAGGAAGCTGAAGTCACATCCAGGTCTATCTATCTTCAAAGTTGATGCTTGTTTCCATACATTTTCTTGCTTCTCAGGAAATTAAGATAAACAAAGTAGTACAAATGCAAAGAAGGTTCCAGAGAGAACACATTTGGGATTTGCAGAATATGGTATTCTGTTCCACTACATGAGCAATTTCCTTAACCCAGTATCCAATAAAACTGTACATCTCGAAAATCCTGCTTGAAAAGGAATTTGGTGGCCAAATAAAGTGGGAGTGCTGGCTGTAATATTCCTATTTGACATTTGACTCTGAAGATTAGCATACCAAAGCTCTGAGAAGTCCTGCACTTAAAAACACAGAGAACACTTCATAATTACTTAACCCAGTGTTTCCCAAACAAAAGATTTCCGTATGATATGTACAAGACATAAATATTCTGTTATAGTTCTCCTTCACAGAGCGTTCTCTGGAAATATCAGTCTGAAATGTAAGGATGAATGTCTTAGACTTCTCAGTGGGCATTATAGATATTTTGCACTACTCCAGAATTTTTTTCCTTATCTCCTCTTCGTGTTGGTCAGTCATCTTCCTCCACGTCTGGGGAAAACTTTGTGTCTCTACCTAGTAGGCTGCTAGACACCTCAGTAGCTTCCTGTGAGGCTGGCAGAGCTACCAGGAGGTGAGGCTGCCATCTTGCTGCAGTTGCAGCAGTGGCCATGTGGCCTCAGGTTCCACCTTTCTCATGGGTGACTTAGTACTATGCTAGTGATTGACTTGTTTGTTAAGTACACTGGGTATGCCAAAATACTGAAGGATGAAGTGTGTCAGGATCACCCTCAGACTTGATGATTTGCTATAAAGAATCACAGGATTTAAAACCATTTTCCACTCAACAGTTAGGATTTGCTACAGTGAAAGGACACAGATTGAAACTAGTAAAGGGACAAAGTGAATGGAAAGAAGGCCAGGAGAGCACAGGCAGGAAATTCCAGGGATCCCCTTCCAGTGGAGCTGCACCTGGATGCACCTAATGCAGCAGCAGTGATGGGTGACAACACGTGTAAGGTGTTGTGGGCCAGGGGAGCACACCTGAGCCTTGATGACCAGGGTTTCTACTGGAGGTCAGTCACATAAGATGAGCACCGGCGTGATTGATCTCAGGGACTCAGACACTAGTCCCTGCAGCTCCTCTTTCCTACAAAGCAAATACAAAGCAAATGATTCACCATAACTCACACTGCTAGGACACACTTACCTGGTCATGTTGGTGCAGGTGTCCAAGGCCTCAGACATACACAACAGGCATTCCCTCTGAACACTGGTCCTGAGTATGAGGATGAATCCTTCCCAGGAGCTCCGGGCCCAATCCTTAAAACAGGGCTTTCTTCAGAATAAGCAGGATGTGAGCATAGCAGGCTGTTATCTTTCTTTAACCTCCTCCTGTTTGTAAAGGTTTAAATTATTCGTGTAAGTTGCTACTTTCTCAGAGTACTGTAACTGCATTCAAATCAAATAACAGGTGTTTGACACTATTTTTTTTTTAACTTCTCCGAGTGCTTATTGAAATAAGATTGAGGCAGTTGTTAGCTTTGCTCTGAAATCTTTTTCTTTGATATTTCATTTTATTTATTTATTTATTTATTTATTTATTTATTTTACTAAAACTCACCATTTTTGCCATTTACAGTATGCAGTTTGATGGTTTTTAGTATACTATATCGGCAATATCGGGCTGCCATTGCCACAACCTAATTCCAAAACATTACCATCATGGCCAAAAGAAACCTCATATTTCCCGGACACCTCCTTCTCTTATCCTCTCCGACCACTAGTCTACTTTTCTTTCTCTGAATTTTCCTGCTCTGGACATTTCATATAAATAGGGTCATACAACATATGGCTTCTTTCATTTAACTTATTTTCAAGGGTCTTCCACGTTGTAAATGTGGCAGTTCTCCATTTATTTTAATTGTCAAATAATATACCAGTGTATAGCTATACCATGTTTTATCTACCTATTCATCTTCTTAAAGATATTTGGGTTGTTTCTATTTATTTGTATGTATGTATGTATTTATCTAAGGATTGAAGCCAGGGCCTTCACACTGAGCTGCACTCTCAGACCCTTTCCTATTTTTAGTTTTTATTCTGAGGCAATTTGAAACTCAAATTTGCAATCCTCTTGCCCTCGCCTCCAAGAGTGCTACAATTACAGGTTTGTGTGCCACCACACCCGGGTCCCCAACTTTGTAATAATGGCTACACCATTTTATATTTCCCTGGAAAATGTAAAAGGGTTCTGATTTCTCCACATCTTTGTCAATATTTGTTATCTCCACATCTTTGTCAATATTTGTTATTATCCATTTGCTTAAGTTCAGTTGTGTCCGTGGCAAATAAAGTTGTATTTCATTGTAGTTTTATCTAGTGTTGCCTTAAAGACTAACAATATTAACCATCTTTTCACGTGCCTACTAAATATTAGTATGTCTTCTTTGGGAAAATGTCCACTCAAACAAATCCTTTGCCCATTTTTAAATTGAGTTGTTTGTCCTTTTATTAAGTTGAGGGTACTTTACATATTCTGGATACTTACAGATATGTGCAGTGTAAACTTTCTCTACTCTGTAGGTTATCTGCTCACCTACTTATGGTGCCCCTTGAAGGATAAAAGTTTTAAATTTTGACAAAATTCAGTTTATCTATTCTATTGTTTTGTTACATATGTGTTGGGTGTCATATTTAAGAAACCATTGCCTAATCCAAAATCATGAATATTTATGTTTCCTGCTAAGAGTTTTATAGGTATAACTTTTACATTTGAATCCACTTTGAGTTAATATTTATAAATGGTATGAGGTAGGGGTCCAGCTTCACCCTTTTGCATGTTGGCTGTACAGCTGTCCCAACACCAATTTTTGAAGACTTTTCTTTTCCCTTATGGAATGCCCTTGACACCATTGCTGACCATATATGTAAAAAAAAAAAAAAGAAAAAGAAAAAGAAAAAGGAAAGAAAAGCTCTATGTAAAAGATAGAAGTGTGGTTTGCAGCCCTGCTGTGCTAGGAACCTGGGTGATCTAAAATAACCTTAAACTGACTTGGGTCTCTCCTCTACCATGTGTACTTTCATGTGAGTGCCCAAGCGTTAATGGCTTCCATCCATGAAATTTGTCTTCACCCTGCAAATATGTACTATTCATATAATCCCTCAAGTTCTAAGGAAGAACCACTTCAGCTGGTGGACCATAGAGAGCTTCCAGTCAGATAACGCTAGTGTTACTATCTTGTAGTGCAGAGACTTTCAAACAATGGTCCTTGAAGCCCTACCTCCTTTAACCTAAGTGCTTCTGCTGTTACAATTGTACCCATCTCTCTATCTATTTAGCGTAATTTAATTTCAAGAAACCAACACAGACTTTCTGACTCTCTTGTACCATGGGATTGGGAGAGATCTGTTAAAAACCAGTTATCACTAAGTTTAAAAAATGCCTAAAACATTGTGTAATTGTCTCCAGCACAATGTGCTGATTATCCCTTGCCTATTGCATCAGCTCAGAGTTAGTTCAGTGTTAAAGTAGTAGAGACCCAAAAATAAAGTGGCTTTTAAAGACAGAAATGGATTTATCCCTTACTTAAAAATATAGAGGAAGATCATCCAATGGTAGAATGATGGCTCTGCTCTACACCTGCCAAAACTTCCAAGTCATAACCCTTCCATGTCTAGGCTTTGGTCCTGATTCTTAGATTCCAAGGGGCAGTCAGAGTTCCAGCCATAATATTTCCATTTCAGGAGGCAGGGTGGAGAAGAAGGGAGAGTAGTGAGAAAAGGGCACAGAGCTGTTCTCTTTAAATGGAAATTTCTAGAAGTTGACCTAAAACACTTGCACTTACATTCTCTTGGCCACAAATGCAGCATGTGGCCACACCTAGCTTTAAGGCAGGCCCAGACGTGTCATTTTAGAAGAGGGTATCCATTAGCGCAACTAAAAATTCTGTTATTATAAAAGATACTGAGTTTTGGAAGACATCCACCCTTCCCTTCTCATGGCTACACATTTAAATGTTTCTAGAATCTGACCACTTTTAAGAAATTTTTTGAACTAATTAGAAGATTGCTGTGCTCTCTGCCTTTCTTAGTCTGGTCCTGAGATTTTCATAGTGTGCTTGCTGTTTTTTTTTCCAACTGTGCATTTAGCCTTGCTTTCTACCTCCTCATAGCCTTTTCCTTGACTTGTATACGACGCACCTAGCATTGAATGTTGATGCTGTCCCTTTTTGATACATTTGTATGCTATGATAAACTCTCTTTCCACCTCAGTAAATGGCCCAGTATCCACCTAGGTGCTCAAACCAAATACTCAGGAGTCATCCTTATTTTTTCATCACTTCTGTTCTACCCATCAGCAAGTCCCGTCTTCTTTTCCTTCTGCATATGTCCTGTATCTGTCATCTGTGTCCCCTTTTGTGTGACTGTTCTCACGTGCACCACCATTGTCTCTATCTGGATTGCTACAAATACCCTCCTAGCTGCCTGCTACTGTCATTCCCCACATCCATCGTTCCACGGTGTCCATCTGTGACACAGCCCTGCCTCATGCCCTCCATTGCCTTCCTATTGTGTTTTGGAACAAATCCGGAATTCTCTTTGCTTCCATGATCTCTGTGTGCCTCCTTCCAATTTATACAGTTAAGCCCAATGCCCCAGTACTTCAGAATGTGACTTTGTGTCTGTTTGTTTGAAGTAGGACCTCTAAAGAGATAAAATAAAGCTCTCATTGTGGGCTTTAATCTAGTATGGCTGACGTCCTTACAAGAGATGTGGATATTCAGACAAGGGACACACACAGAGGGCAGGCCACAAAGGAAAGAAAATGTATCAGCACATGAAAATGTACCATGCTACATTTCAGAAATATTATTTTTATATTTTACCACCATCACCACAAAATCCTGTGCCACTCCAGTCTTAGTAGTAGAATCTACTAAGAATAATAACATTCTCAAAAGCAAACTTTGAGGAATAAGTGGAATAACTTGGAAACTAGCAATCAAGGTGAAATGGGGTAAGAGAGAAATTATGAAGAAAACCTAAGAAGACTTTTGTATCCACGGAGTGTGAGCAGAGTAAGTCTGATAACTTCAGAGCTTTAAGGTAGACAGTACTGATGGAGGTCCCAGCTGTATCACTGGACCATCTTTCTTTAGGTCAAGAGCAGGAAGAGCTAATTTACTGTTCGTGAATTTGTCTTGAGAAGATGAATTTAGCTTTAGATGGAGTTCATTGGAAGCAATATTGAACTATTAAGGCAGAGCTATTTAGCAGAGGTTCTAGATATGAGAGTGGAGATCAGAAGAGAGGTACAAACAGCAACAGAGATAATTGCAGGCTCTGGCAGAATCGGGTGACTTACGATTTCCATCATAGCCCAGAGCCTGTCTTGAGAGCAGAGTCCAATGCAGGCTGAATTTTAGACGTACAAATTTTAGAAATGTACTGGTAAACATGACCAGTGATGCCTACATTTCTTATGGATGCCTCCCACCTAGTATGGAAACTGTTATGTTTCTCCTATAAAATCCCACCCCCCTTTTCCCAGACCCATGTCTTGCTTGGAAATGGCCCTTGAGTTTGCTGATAGAGAATAACATGAAATCAGCACAAAAGTGTGTATTTAGCATTATACAGTATTCAGTAACACCACACACTCTTACCATGAGGTTTTAGGAGAGACTTTTCAGTTTTTTAAATACTGTTTTGATGATGTAGGTACATGGCTGTAGTTAACGCGAGCTGTCCTCAGGCCCAGGGTGCTAATGCATTGTAAGGTATTTTAACACTTGTAGCAGTTTGTGCCAGGTCCTCTTCGGCTTGCTGGGTCAGGTTCCTGCAGGTCTGTGGAAGTGACCTAGAAGTGTTCAGCGTGGCCTCATGTGCTTTGTGGGCTAAGTAATCGTGTCCTATCGTTGTCAGCCATATTCCTTCTGAGACCAACTTCCTCTGTATGAGTCCTGCTTTATGTTTTTTCTTTCATTTGTCCTAACTGTGTATATTTTGAAGTTGAACAGAGAAATGATAGTGATGTCACAATAGGAGAGTGAGAGGAGAAGGAGCCAGGGTAGCTATGCCAGCAGCATCCCCCAAATGGGGGTTTTGTCCAAACCCTACGTTAGAGTCCAGTGTTCTGTTAGAATCAGAAGTTAGATGTTGCTGACTTGAAAGAGGGGAACAGAGAAGAGGCTGGAGATTTAGCTCAGTGGCACAGCACCTGCCTGGCAAGCGCAAGGTCATGAGTTCAATTCCCAGTACCAGAAAAAAGCCAAAAAAAAAAATGGAGAGGTGGAGAGGATAGGGGAGGAAAAAGGAGAGGAGATAAATGGAAGTAGGAAGGGGTGAAGGAAAGACAGATAAAAAGAGAAGAGTGGAGAAGGGAATGAATGAATAAAAACCCAAGACATTACTCAGGCGATTGTCCCACACTTTTGTGGAATTGGTAGGCAAGGCACAGGTCTGCCTTTATCCAGGATGAGCTTTACAGAACTGTGATTTGACATGGGCCTGGCTGTTATTGCACCTCTCAATATCCTGGACTCACCAGCATGCACCCATTGCTTGTAGGGAAGGGGACCCTGTGCGCGGTTCCTCATGGTCCAAGCGGTGGAGCAGAGTGGGGTTCCCTGAGCCTAGAAAATACTGGGCCTGCAGTGAGCAACAGGATCTAGCAGGCAAAGTTGGGTCCACAAACTCAGTGGAGTTTAAGAGAAGAAATGCAATGGATGCTAGGGCAGAATCTAGGAACTCTCGGAGAAGACCTTCATTCTGCCTGTTCTGGAAGAGCCCATGCTGGCAGCAGACCAAAGTATTATGCTTTGTAGTTATCACTGGGACCTAATAAACCATCACCAGTCCTGACATTTATATTTTCATGCAATGCAAAATGAGCCATGGGAACTGCCTTTCAAGATCCCTCAGAAAGTGTTGGCTGAACTCAGGGCCCTAAAAATGATTGGGTGGGACATAAATGTTTAGACAGACTGGATTGCCAGAGTGTTCGCCCTTGTAAGAATGGTCTGAATAGCTGCTCAGGGATAGTTTTCGGAGCTGGATAATGGTTTCTAAAACGGTTGAAATGAAAGCGACTGCGCCTCTGCTCCTTCTGTGTGTGAAGCAGATTTGTGATTGAGAGAACTGGAAGCGAAGGTCTCATCAGAGGAAAAGGGCTGTGTCTCTCTGTGTACACGAGATGGAATATTTTTGAAGATGGTAAAGTGGACCCACTGGGAAATTTGTTTTTCCTCGGGATTCCAAGGAAGTGGTTGACTATTTGGGAGACAGTTGGGATAGTTGAGGACTAGAGGTGGACTGTGTTATGGTTTATGTCTAAAACAGCCCCCAAAGCCATTTGTGATTGGAGGATGACTGGATTATGGGAGTGCGTAGCTGACTCCCTGTTGGGAGGTGGGGTCTGGTCAGAAGAGGAGGGTCACTGTGAGTGACCCGGAAGGGTTTATCTCCCTTCCGGCTCCTCCCTTGATTCTGCTTCCTGGCTGCTCATCTCCTAGATGAGCAGCTCTTCTCACTGTGCTGCACTGCCCATGCCATCCTGCCTTGGAGCCAACTGGCTGTGGACTTCAATGTGAAACAAAATAGACCTCTCCTCCCTTAAATTGCAAGTGTCAGCTATTTTGTCCTAGCACCAAGGAAAGTGACTAAGAAGTCACTTCAAATCCTAATCACTTAGTATTGACATTTCACAAATTACTCAATCTCTTCAAGCTTTCATTTCCACATCTGGAGAGGTGGGGGAAATAGCATGAAATCTACCTTTGCAGAGTTCTGTTGGTGTTAAATGAGATAAACTACCTAACGTGCTTGGTTAGCAAAGGTCTGGTATTTGCCCACTGCTTATTATATATTAGTGGCTTTTCTAATCCTCCCTGCTGTTACTAGGAAAAGAAGAAGTAGTTGGGGCTAGAAGTCTAGCTTAATGATAGAGAGTTTGCCAATCATGTGAGAGGCCCTGAGTTTGATTCCCAATACTACTACTGTTAAAAAAAATAAGTAAGTAGTAGAGCTCAGGAAAAGGGTACTTCCAGCTCAACACCCACTAACCAATGGCTTTTGGGTAGTATAGAGGGAAGAAAGATTCAGGAAGCCTGGAGTTGTATGTTCCTGTCTACCTGGGCCACCCAGGGGGAAGGTTCATGAAGAGAAGTTGAGGTTTCTTCCCAGGAGTGAATCTGGGACGATAAAAACTCCAGACAACCAGGCCTCCAAAGTCAACATGGACCAGGACAGAATGAATGTGGATTCGGACAGAGCAGTTGGAGGGCCCTGGAATGAAGGCTAAGGAAACCAGTGATGGGTGGTGGAGGAGAGTAGATTGAAGCAGGATTAGTTCAGTGTCCCCTGCTCCTAGGTTTTTTGCACCTGGGCCATTTGCACTACAGAGGATTGAACCCAGGGTTGCTGTACCACTAAGCTATGTGCCTAACCCTTTTCTGTTTTGTTGTTTTTTTTTATTTTGAGATAGGATCTTGCTAAGTTGCCCACATGGGACTCAAATTTGTGATCCTCCTGCCTCAGCCTCCCTACATGCTTGGATTACAGGCATGCCTAACTCCATTTTAATCTTAACCTGTCTATCCTTTGGTTACAATGTTCCTAGTCCTGGGTCAAGGTTTCTGTGTGCATCCTGATGGGAAAGACCAAAGGCTTTGGGGTGATTCTCAGCATCTGACCACAGCATCATTGGTGAGGAAGCGTTGTTGAGGTCATATGGACTGATGCAAACACAGAGCCCAGGGCCTGTGGCTGAGGCTGGAGTTCAGCGCATCTGCAATCCCATGGGTTCCAGAGAGGCATGATTCTATGGGAAGCTGAGGCAGTGAATCCCAGATTTAGAAAGGACACAGACCCAGATTAGCAGGAGAAGAGTCATGTGCTGTCCAGTATGAACCCAAGAAGCAGGAGGCAGGGGAGCCAGTGCACAAGGAGTAGAAAAAAACGGAGCCCCAACCTGGCCCCTGGGGCCACTGTGATTATCCTAGCTCTGCGTGAGGTCTTGGATAAGCAGCTTGATGTCTCAGAGTCTTAATTTTGTCACCTGTACAATGGAGCTCACTCTGCCCCAGGACTAGGTCATACTGTTGGTCACACTGGCAGAATCTGAGTCAGAATCGGAGCTCCTGGGTGTAACAGTTAGCATTTGTGCCGGACGTTTGTGCTTGGAGAATGCTTTTTTGATGATATCTGGTCCAGGGTTTTTTTCCCACACACCCTGACCCTAACGGATCACCTTAGGACTCATCCGCTGTGTCTCGTCAAGGAAAGAAGGAACGCTAAAATGTTAACAGGACAGCAATTCCAGATTCTCATGAAAACATCCCAAAGTCCCTCTTAAGATCTCCAACAAACGCTTTTTAAATTCCAGAATGTACCCTGTCTTCTCCAAAGCATTCAAGAAAATGGAGCCATTTTAAAGTTTGGGTTGTTGTTGTGTAAACCGAGATCTCTTAGCCCTAGCGTTGCTGAGAACGTGCTCTGGGAAATGCTGACTGGGGGTGGGGGCGGGGTCACATTTGCTGAGTACAGAGTCTATCCAGGGTGAACTCTTGGTTCCCCAAGGTGGCCTTTGAATGAGTCATCTTCCGATGTCAGGGTTAACTGTGTTAAGGGTCATTCTGATGTCACTCATTATAATCATATCACAGTCTAATGCAATGATGGCAAACCTTTTAGAGCTTGAGCGCCCAAGCTGCAATCCAGAACCCACTTATTTATCTCAAAGTGCCAGCACTGCAATTAAACCTGAACACTGAGGTTTTAGTTTAGGAAAAAGAGCTGTTATCCGATGCTCAGCTGTTAGGGTGACTTGGCTCGTGGGCTGACAGAGAGGGCTTTGGGTGCCCGCTGTAGCACGCATGCCGATAGGTTTCTCACCACTGGGCTAATGGAATAATTCCACATCTTGCATAAGGTTTGACCTCATGAGACATTTTTTGTACATTTGCAATGTACTGAAAATTACCGGTTAACCCAGATTGAGGAAAAATTTTTTTGTCATCTTCTGAGCATTGCTGTATTGCAGCAACTTCCCTCCCCCAAGCCAGACCCTTTCTTCCTTCCCAAGGCGAGAGCATCACCCAGCAAGGTGGACACCCTTCTGTGTCACAAATCATTTCCTCCTCCTGGAGGACCCTGTGTCACTAAGATTTAAAGTAGGTCAGCTCACATTTTGGCCTTGTAAGGGAGTGTGGTCCCCTTCGGGCTGTTAATGAGTCACACAGCACTTAAAAGAGATCTGAGTGGCCTAAGGACAGCGGTCCTGGAGTGTGACTGAGCTTCTCTGCGTCATCACTACCATATCTTACACCGCCTCCTAGAAAGTGTGGGACTTGCTCTGCCTTCCCCTTGGTTAAAGGTGGACTGCATGCCAACCAGTGCAGCCAAAAGGGAGAGAGCTATTTCTTTCGGTTCTCCTTCAATCCCAAACTGCATCTTTTTTGTTTTTTTTTAACATCAAGGAAAATGTTGTGGTAGTTCCATGTTAATTCTTTTTTGAGGGGTGGTGCTAGGGATGGAGGCCAGAGCTTCGCACATGCTAGGCAAGTGCTGTACCACTGAGCTATATACCCAGCCCTTTGTCTTTATTCTTAAACTGAGCTTGCCTTCAATGTGCGTAGGCAGGATAATTGCGCTGCTCTGCTTTCTTTTGTATTTATTTCACTATGACTTGTGATTGGTGGAAAGTGGTATCAGTTTTCTGTGTACCACGATAAGGTAAAACCTCTTTTGAAAAGAAACTTTACAACATGAAACCAAGTGGAAGCCCATTATGGAGACTAGAACCACTGCCCTAACGCTGCCCTGTTACCTTCTGAAGCGGGCCCCAAGTATGTGAATACCGTGTTCATTTTACATGTACATAAACTACAGCTTGGAGAGGTGGGCTGATTTAGGCTCAGTGCAGGGACCTTAAGCCTATCATTGTCACTGTGACTGAAGTAATCAGAAAAAGGGCCAAGATCTTCCAAACTTTCCTGTATTTTCTTTAAACTTCCTTTTCAGCCTTTCTAGGAAAGCATATGGCTAATATAGTCTCTTTGAATTGTGTTCCTTCCTTGAAGCATTTTGAAATCATAGTCCAAGAACAGATTAGAACTAAAGAAGTTACTAAAAAATTAAAAGCAGTTGTGATTATAACAATGCTGAAATAATCGCCCTTGCATCGTTGAAATGTTCTAACGTCGGTTGAGAAATTTTTTTAAGTTAAATGATTTAACGGAGAAGCAGCTGAAACAACT